TGCTGCTGACTGAGGTGTCAGTTGAGTTCTGTCTATCTCTTGTTCTTTATTGGACACAGAAGAGGAATTCCTTGCAATAGGTGCATTTTCATCCTGTGTGAAAGCTTAATAGGTTATTAAAATAATAATATTATAATTTTATAATTATATATAATTATAATTATATATTATATATTATTAATAATAATAATTAATAGGTTATTAAAATAACGTAACATTCATAAATGTTTTTGTATTAGAAGACTATATATTGAGGTCCTAAAGAAAACCCCATTATGATAATAATAATCATCATCAAATGTGTTTGAAGATGTAAATAATCTCCAAAGGTGAGCTCTGGATATGTTTTAGGTGCTGGTCCAGCACCTTGTACCAACCCTCCACTGTCATCTTACTTGTGCTGATCAAGATGTTGGTAGGCATTTATATAATTAAAAGAAAGACAAGTCTTGCCAGTGGTTTCTTTAAACCTGGATCAGTTGTTGGATATGATTCCCCTGTAGTCCCCATTCCAGCCATGCTAAAGGGGCAATTAAAGGGTGGGATCATTCTGCATAGTACAGCATTTCTATCAAAAAAGTGCACTGGATTGTGCTTGGGGTCAGCTGGGGGCTCAAGAAAACTGTAGAAATGAATTATCCTGGGAAGACAGCTGGACTACAGAGTGGACTATGGATGTGAAGGACAGTCCTTGGAGTCACTTCTTAAGTCAAAACTGCTGGTATGATCATCAGTCCATGTACCTAGCAAAAGCCAAAGAACCTGGACTGGCAAAAATTCAACCAGATCCAAATCAGAGTAAATGTAGTGAGAAACCAAAATAAATTGTAAATGTGATGAGAAACCAAAGGTACTTGTCAGAGGTCAGGAAGGAAAGGAGCTGTTTGTAAGCTGTGAAGTCAGGAAGGAAGCAGCTCTGTGTTCAGCCGAAGGGAGGACGTGGCGTTTCGGTTACCAAAGGTTGGGCAGTGGAAGTGAAGGACCTGCAAGGGAATGGCCATGCTCAAACCAGGAAAGATGTGATCTTAAACAGAAGTGCATTGTCAGCACAAGAGTTCTGGTAGGAAGTACATTAACTTGCCCCTCCTGGCAGTGTCTCATGTGTGGAAAATTGCAAATCACAGACAAATGTGTATTAGAGTTGTAGGGCATGGGCTGGTACAACCCTGTTAAACTGGTCTCTGTGCTGCACCATGTGTTTCCATAGACAGGACACTTACCCCTGCAAAGTGCTGAAACAGGGAATGAAGGCTATGGCAACTTCTTCCAAGGGGCTCTGAACTGAGGAGGCTCCATCACGCCAAGACATGGTCTAAAATACTACCCTAAAGCCATATGCTTCAAATTCTCAATAACAGAATTTAAAGATACAGAGCTAAATGAAAACGTTCAAATACATTTTGCCACAGAATAATTAATTTGGTGGGTTACTTTAAGAATAGTAAGTAAATAGATTTTTAAAATTCAGTAACTCCCATTTACCTGGACTTGTAAAGCATTTGATATGGTGTTGGATACCACTGAATAAACTTTGGTAGTTACAAATACAGGAAGTTTAGGTTGGGAGTTGCTTTGAAGAAGGAAGGCATCATGGAAAGGTTAGCACGAGGTTTCCAGCTGGTATTGCTGATTTCCCAGATCTTTGGGATGCATTTTCAGTATTTACCTATGTTGAAGTATCACATATGTGCTATGGCATCCTCTGCTGGAAATTGTGGAGAGATGCTGTAGCTCTTTCCTGACTTCCCCATTCCCACTCTCCTGTATGAGGAGAGGTTTTGGAAGGACAGAAGTACTGTAAATGCTCTTGGCCCAGAGCATGGGTCGGGCATGATGCAGAGGAGTGCACAGACACGTTCAGGAGCCAGCTGTGCAGAGCTAGGGCAGGGATAACAGGGATGTGGGACACAGCTGTGAGAGGGAGCTTTGGGTACAAATTGTTCAGGGCCTGAGGCAGTAGGAGAGTTCATGTGTGTCCTGTAGGCTCTAGTCCTGTGCTTTGTAGCATCTTGTGAAACATCTTGTCTCTTCAGAAGACCTTCTTGCTGGGGTAGTCCATTTACGTCTCTGTGTGCCACTGGTCTGTATCCTTTGGCTGGGAGATGCACAATGCTGGGAGTGAGGAAATCCTTCCAGGACAGGATTTGGCAATCAAATGTCAGTATTGTCACTGGTTTGTTTCTGAAAATGCAGTGGAAGGCTGTTTGTGAGAAATTCAAAATCTCGATGCATCTGTTGTTCAGGAGTTGGTCACACAGGTGATATAGGCTCAGAATGGGCATATAGTGAATTCTTTTTCCCAAGGAAGCTGGAGTACAGAAGTTTTTGGATGTCCCATTCCTAGGTACAGCATGTGGCACTCCTGTTGAGGTCTTTTTGCTTATGTAGAAATAGATGGAGAGAACAAAATCTTGTGATGTGTTTGTGCTGAACTGAACCATCTTGCCTTGCTTATTCTGACAGGGAGCCAGCTGAGCAAATTAGGTGGTTTTCCTCATGGGGGTGGGATATGAGGGAAGTGAGCATGTCACATAGGGTAATGATACAGTGATGAGAATGAATTGTTCACACCAGAAACCTGCTGTTGACAACTTCGTCCAGGTCAACACGTTTCTCAGGTAAAGTCGGTACTGGCACTGCAGTAATGATGGATGTGGCTGTTTGCTGTCCAGAACCAGCCAAGGAGTTGTGGGGGTTGTCACTGAGTCAATATCCTCAAAGCTATCTTTGCAATCCTGGGTTAAAGCAGTGTGTTCCTGATGGTTTCAGGTGAAATCCGACTGGAGGGTGGTTTGGTGAGGAGAGCAGAGCTTACCTGCTGTGTGTGGCTGCCAGAAGCATCAGGGCTGTACAGCCAGGGTGGCCCTATGAGCTGTGCACCCAGGAGGGCTTTCTTTCTGCACTGCACTCATTGCCACAGCTGTGTTGGTACAGGTACCCAGCCCTGGGTTCTTCCTTACGAAACAGGGTGTTGTTACGAGGCCATCTGCTTTGGGCACCAGGATGTGGTGGTCTTTGTCCCCAGCCTGACTCAGAGTAGGTGGGATCGTGTGGCTGTTGGCGCTGGCAGCGGTGGATGTTCCTGGTGGGTGCTTTTTCTTTTTGGCTGTGTTTGAGTGCTTTGAGGGTGCAATAGACAACGGAAGAGGAGTCCTGATTGCTCACATCTGCCCATTTGCAGAGTTCTTGTGTCTCTGGTTGTTTTTGTATTTGCCAGTTTTATATCTGCCAGTGTCCCAGGAGAGCTGCTGGGGGATGTGTGTTGTTCACCCTTAGCAGTGGGACTCACCAGATTCTTTATGGTCTGTGGTGCTTGACTGTGTCCCTGCTGAGGCTTACCTTGGCTCCTGCTCACTGAGCTCATGCCTTTGCTGGATCATGAGGGAAAGGCAGATTTTATGATTGTGGGTTCAAAAGATGAAATAATTCAGGTCCGTAGATGAACCCAAAGCTTGAGCAGTTCCCTGCGTGTTTGGTTTGCACCTGGTTGGAAAGGTGAGAGGGTGAATTAGAACAGAGTTCTACTTTGGTAACTAGTTGTGAGCAAGTGGGTAATTGCTGCTTGGGAAGGATACATCTGGGTGTTTCATTTCCTGCTTCAGGCTTTATGTCTAGGAAATGCAGATTAGTGCTCACGTTAGAGGGAAGCATGGTGGGGAAGACCAGCTCATAATTCTGAGTAGCAGCTGGGTGAATGCCACATCCTGTGGGGAAGAATCACTTGATACATGAGCAGTAAAAACCAACAATTAAAGACCAGGATTGGCATTTTGTTGGCATTAGGAGGAGAACTGTGAGGAAGTTAGGCTGGCTTGAGCTGTGATACCACCAACAGATGTCTGTCTGCCAGGCTGTAAGTGCAGAGCATGTGCTTTGTCTGTCTCTGGTGATTGCAGCCTGTCAAAGTAAGTAACTGCTTAGGGTAGAGAAAGCAAGACAGAGAAATGGAGTGAAATGTCTAGAGAAAGCAGTGTTCTGAAGTTGGGGTCATGATGCTGCTCAATGTTATAGCACCAGAATCTGGTTTAAAATCCTGCTCTGCAGATGGTTGAAGACTCCAGGAATATTGAAAAGGAAAGAAGGAGAATGGCCAAATACCCATTTTGTTCTGTTTCAAGGAAGGACAGTGAGTAGAAGATATCTGAGGTGAAATGGCCAGGTAAGTGGAGCAGCAAGTTTTGGGTTGGGTGTAATGTTTCAGCCTTATTGTTCTTTCCTGTCTTGTGTTGAGCTGTGGTTTGCCTAAGTCCATGGCTCAGACTGAAAACTAAAACTGGCCTTTTAGAGTTTGAAGGTTCAGAATTCTAAAAATAGGTCTTTTGCTCAGACATGTAATTTAGGGTGGGATTCATCCTACTGCTCAAACTATTAGCCTTAGCACCCAGTCTGAGTCTGTCAGTAAGAGCCTTCTGAAGACATCTGCTCCTAAAGCCTGGGATGTAATGCTCAGAAAGGTGCCTGGCTCTCACTACAGGGCACTTCATGTGTAATTTAAATGAGGCACGAAGCTTCTAGAAAACAAAGGTAAGTGCACATTTCACACCTGGATACCAGGATCTCTGCACCTGCAAAAGTTTGGCTACTCCTGACATGGATTTTGGAGCATCTTACACAGGGATGCTACAGTTTCCTCTCCACAATGAATCCTGGAAAGTTTGCATCTGGAGAATGTCCAACACAGTGGCTGGAACACGCTGCAGAATTGTCCAGGTTGGTGGAGGCCCAAGGTAACGGGTCTGTGAGGCCCTCTGCACCCTGTGCTGTGCATGGCTGGGGGCTGATGGGATCCGTGGGGTGCTGTAGGGGTCTAAACACTAGCCCTAAAGGCCCAGCAAAGGTGCTGATACAATTTTTAGGGAGCCTGCAAGAGACCCAGAGAGGGACTTGAGACAAGGGCCCAGAGTGTCAGGACAGTGACAATGGCTTTCCACTGCCAGAGGGCAGGGTTAGATGGGGTATTAGGAAGAAATTCTTGGCTGTGAGGTGGGCAGGCCCTGGCACAGGGTGCCCAGAGAAGGTGTGGCTGCCCCTGGATCCTTGGAAGTGTTCCAGGCCAGGCTGGAGGGGGCTTGGAGTACCCTGGGATAGTGGTCCCCCTGCCCTGTGGCAAGGGTTGGGATGAGATTCGCTGCATGTGAACACTGAATGACAATTTATGAGCTAGATCTGAACTGTTAACTGTGGATCAGTTTGCAAGTGGTCCCATAGCACAAGCACTGATGTGCCTTGCTGTGCTCTCGTAGCATTGCGTTCTGGGCAGGACCTGTCCTGACCCTGGGCTGTGTTGTGTGTAATCCATGGGTGATGGGCTGAGCTGCACCTGCCTGCAGGAAGGACTGAAATAATTCATTCAGATTTTCTAGAAAGTTTATTATCACATCAGACAAGATTAGGAATTCCTCAAGGAAACTAATGTGTACAGTGAATTGGAAAGGCAGAAAATACATCCCCATGGAGGCATTCACTCCTTAGAGGAGCATTTAGTAGAGGTTACATGCTGTGATTGTCAAATAAAACCCAACTTATTTGCTTATTTGAGCTATATCTGTTGTTCAGAGCTGCTTTGAAAACCTGGTTTTATAGAGAAACCTGGGGTTGTAATAGATTTAAAGAATTATCTTTAAAAACATTTACTGGAAGGGAATTTTCAAAATCATTCTAAAAAACTTGCAGACTAATTTTGAAGTTGGTAGTATTTTAAATTAAAAGTGAATTTTGGGCTGGTTTTCACATCTGTTGTTTGGATTGTATTTTGCCACATGCTACAGCATTGAGTTATTTTGTTACTTTTTTCAGTTTTAGTAAAACACAAACTGAGGCACATTGTGATCCAAAGGAACAATGGCAGCAGTGCTCTGCTGACAGTTCCCTTCCAACTCCATTTATATGTCCTAAAAAGATGTGAAAATGATATAAAAGAGAAAGTCCCTGATTAAAACTCAATGTTTTATAAATTCAGGTATGTAAAAATAACTGGTGCTCTGGAAGAACGGATGCACAGAAAAGAACCAATCTGGAGGATCAAGTCAACTTGTAGGAACAAGCCAGTGTCTTCTGAGTAAAGTGTATGCTCAAGTCATTCAGTTCAATGAAAATTCATTTATGGTCAGTCACATCCTCAAATTCTCAAATACCATTGTGGAAATGTCATTCCCCAGTCAAGGCTCATGTGGCCAGCAGGTGGGTTTTCTGCCCATGTCTGGGAGGTGCCCCAAAGAGCCAAGGGCTGCTTCAACTTTTCCTTTTGCTTAATAACCACAGACCCCATAAATACCTTTCACATGGATTTTAGTTCACCAAAGTAGATTTCCTTGAGGGTTTTTTCAGTAAAATAACACTTGTATAACCACCAAATTTCTTCACCCAGTTGCTCTCCAACTTTATTGCAATAGTAAGTGCAGCAGCCATAACCCAGGGATCACCTGTATTACCAGAGCAGCTGAGATTTTTGTTTGTAAGGAAAACAAGGATTTTGAAGGAAGAAATACAGCATTTGAGCATGTGTGCTTTCTGTACACCAGATTTCTGTGCTGTAGGATATGTGCCTTGCACTGCCTGTACTTCTCCAATTGCATGGAAATAACATAGAGTTAGATTTTCAGTGCTAGAACAGAGAGAGGCACCTCTTTTTCTTACAGGTGCCTGGGAAAATAGTTTAAAATACTTTGAAGGTGCAGTGTATCTGTCAGTAGAATTTAATTATGGAACCACAGAATATACTGAGTCCAAAGGGATCATCACTCAGCCCCTGGCCCTACACAGATACCCCAACAGTTTCACCCTGAGATGAAATGAGATGCTCATCCCTGAGAGTGCTGTCCAAATGCTCCTGGAGCTCTGGCAGCCTTGGGGCCGGGACCATTCCCTGGGGAGCCTGAGCAGTTCCCCGGGTCCCTTTTTTTAATCTTTTTTGAGGCTGAATAGATGGGTTTCAGTTTGTCACGTGGAACTTCACCTCTCTCCCATCCTGGTCTCCTGAATACAGCTGGTACAGAATAAAACTCCTCCCAAGTGATGCCCAATGACTTTGTCCAGACTCTGCTACTTTCTCGTTTTCTAGAAGTCTCTTGTTCCTCACCCCTGATGAGTTTGTGTTGCTCTCTACAAAAGCCCTGCTGACATTCTGGGGTTCCATGAGTGCCACCAGCTCTCAGAGCTGGCACAGGGAGGCTGCTGTTCCCCCCTGAGCAGCAGATAAACATTGCTGTCAGTGTTTCCCCAGCAGCAGGTTACTGAAAACGCAGGTGGGGCTGGCATGGTCTGCGACAGTGGGCACCTCACTACCTGGGCCATCCCGTAAATCTCCTTCATTTACTTTTCCACAATTTCCACCCTGTTGAAGGTGTTCAGGTGCCTCTCCTTTGCCTGTGTGCAGTGCTGAAGATGGATTGTCCTTGCTGCCTTTGGGCTTTCCCCTTCAATAACCCTTCCCTCTATACCAGACCACAAAGAGATTTTCAGAAGCACTTGAATTATTTTTTCCCCTTGTTTTATCCTGTTCGAGGGTCACAGTGATGACAACCCAATTTTGAGGTTGCTGGACTCAAAGCTCTCCCTTGCTGTATTTGTCACAAGGACAAGGCTATGTGGACTCCAGCATGACACTTTACCTTTACCTTACTAGCATCAAAATACTTCCTGCTGATTTCCAAAATCAAAACATCTCTGCTAATGTGAATCTCACCAGATAGTAAGAGGTGTTACCAACACTTTGAAGGCCAGGTTGAACAGGGCTTGGAGCAACCTGGTCTAATGGAAGGTGTCCCTGCCATGGGAGATGAGCTTTGAGTTCCTTTCCAACTGGAAATCCATCCATTCTGATAAAGCACAGGGGCAAGTTGTCCAGGGTGCGATTGGCTTCACCAGCTCTAGATTTATTACTGAGATATAATATTCTGTGTTTTCAATAATATTTTTTTTCTTTGCTGCAGTGAGCTTGAGGATGTGCTGTTTAAATTGTTTTAGTATGACTTGCAGTTTCCAGGGCATGGGTCTGGTCTGCAGCAGCCAGAGCCCAGTGATGAGAGTGACTGCCCAGAGGCTCATCCTGCAACCCCAGCACTCAAGGACCTTTTGCCATGGGCATTCCATCCTGCCTTTTGTTGCAGGGTTAATGGTGTGCTGTAATATCCAGAGCTCATTGATCAGAAGAGAACAAATGTGAAAGTGGGGCTTGTCTCTGCTGCCTGTGCTGGTGTCTGTGCTGGTCAGCCTGGACTCACCTGGGGCATCCAGTGAGGGATGGAGGTGCTCCCATGCACCAGTGACTGACCAGAAAGGTCTCAAAAATCTTGCCTGTTTTAATTAGTCTGCTGGTGCAGGTGCATTGGAGGTGTCTGTCCAGCTGTGTCTGCAGGATGTGGGTAACTTGCAGACAGATGGGATACTCAGATCCTTGGCCAGAGCTGGGGCTGCCTGGAGCCTCCCCAGTGTCTCCCAGGGGGTTTTGGGTGCCTGAGCTCACTCCTGGTATAGAGGTACAACCACAAAACCCTTCAGAGCCAGTGATGCTGAACCAGTGTGTGATGTATCAAGGTGATCATACATGATATGGGAAGGAGGGAGGGATGTCTGAGGAAGCTGCAGAGATTGATTTGAAATGTGATTATTTTGGGTTTGCAAATGATGTAAGTGCTCCTTGAAGAGCAATTGGGCTGTAATGTTTAAGAAGGTAATAATTAACCTCACCAAGGAGAAAGGGTGAAAAAGGCCAAAGTTAGCAGCAGCATCTCAAGCTTACATTGCCCAGGATTCTAATTATGTGAAGGCTTTTGCTTGAAGTTAATAGAAGACAATTTTTGTGCTAAAGCTGGTTTATGATATTTAATAGTTTCTGCTTTTCATTTGGCAAAACTGGAATGAATATTTCTTCTAAATTAAATTTTTTTTACAACCTCTGACTTCAGCTTGAAAGAATTCTGCACATAAAATGTTTTCTTTATGTGCAGTTGGAGAACAGTTCAGTGATGTGAGTGGGGGTCTGAGCTGTGTTACGATTCCCAATTCTGTGACAGGGAAGATCAAGAGAAAAGGGATGAGATGACATTTTGAAATACAGATTAATTCACTGACATGAATTGTTGGTATAAAAGGCTTTTGTGTAGAAGGCTACCCTCGGAAGCCTGGATTTTAAGGCTGTAGTTGGAATTTGAGCTTGGAGACAGATCCTTTACTGGGAAAATCAACACAGTTGCAACTGGGCCTCGTTAATTAGTTCTCTGTAATAAGACAGCTATAGAAACAGGTGTACAGTTTGTCCTTCCTTCCTTCCAGCCAGTGGATCCCACTGTCCCCACGAGAGTGCAACAGCTCAGCCGTCCTGTCTGTAACCTGACAGCTGGGAAATCTCATTATGTCCAACTTGAATTTTGAGCTCTAGACAGAAATTCACATAATCTTAGTTTTTAGATGAGAACCCAGTAGTAAAATAAAAAGCAACGATTGAAAAAATAATCTCTATAAGGAAAACAAAAGCTTCTGGAGCACAGCCTGGCCTCCAGGGAAGAGCTGCTGGCCAGAGGGTTCAGTGATATGTCTCACCCCTGCTGCATTCTCACCAATTCCAGTCTGCTAACACCTGCTCACCTCCCTAGCTTTCAAAAATAGGTGAGCTTGGAAAAATGGGAGTTAACAATCCTTCAAACCCAGCCATTTAAGACAGGGCAGCGAGCTCCCAGCTGTGTCCTCAGGCGCAGGGAGGAGCTGGCTCCCTGCCCCAGCAGCAGAGCCACGCTCTTTGGGTGCCTGCTGGGAGTCCTATGGTCTTCAAAGGATAAGAGAGGATTTTCCCACTTGTTGTGCCAAGTAAGGCCTTTTAACTTGCAGAGCATCCATATGCGACACTCACTATGTCAGTGTTTAGCACCAAGATGCCATTCCTGGGAGCAGGAATGCTGTTATCTACACCTGGCAGATGTTGTAGTGAACTTGTGTCTGATCCAAAAGGGTTTCTTCAATCACTTCAATCCCATTGTCTTTGGGATGCGGGTGTGAGGTCTCTGCAGAAGGAAACTTGTCTGTGTTGCTCACTCGGTCTTCCTGCAAAAAGAAAAGAGCACAGTGAGTAGTGAGTAGGTGCCTTGTGCCTGTCCTGCCATGTCCCACACCCCCCTTCCCTCCCACCATGCTGTACATACTGGGGGGGGCTTTGGGGCAAAGTCCTTCTCGCAGACATGTGCTATGATGCCAGCAGCCAGCGCATCACCAAGGACATTGGTCATGGTTCGTAGTCGGTCCCTGTGGAGAGACAGCACCAGGATGCAGGGGGTGGTCACAGCTGGTGTTTCTGGGGTGTTGATAGCTTTGAAACACGTTAGCCCCCATTTTGAATGTGCCTCCCCCTGGTGTAGCCAAGTGCTGTGTTGGTTTTGCAGATGCAGAGAGAAAATGGTCCCTATGTGAGCCCTGTGCTGGGGCAGCATCTGTCTCACCCTGCCTGTGTGAGCAGTGCAGGGACCTGCCAGTGGCACCTCCCAAAATGGGATGGGCACTGTTCTGCTAAGTGCAGGAGATCTGCCCCAGGAAGTCATAAGACTCCTTGAGATGCCTCTCAAGGAAAAATCCTGTAGATCCAGCCACTGCTCCTCTCTCGTCTGCCCAGGCACCTCTCACTCACCTCTCATTAGTAGAAGGTGCCAGCAGTGCTGGGTACCTGGTGATGCTGAAAGGTTGAACTGGTGGTGTGTTAACCTTCCTTTGTGGGGTAAAGAGAAAAGGGGGAGGGAAAGAGAAAAGCAGCCATGATACTTGACACTGTTCTCACTTCTTCCTGGGGGGCTGGGAAGTACAAACCAGCCACCCGCGTGTCTGTTCTGAAACTCGGCATTTGCTCTCTGTGGTTTCTCACCTAATGACTCGCTTAGTTTTTATCTTAGTACTTTAGAATGGCACATTTCACAGGCTCAGTGTTTATTTGTCTCTGACAAATGTAATCCAGCATCAGTTTGTGTCTTAAGAGCAATCTGGTTTCATCTATCAAGATGAAGATCCATCACCGTGAATTGACACTGGAGAGCACTTACAGAGCCCAGTCGACGGCAATGATGAGGGTGATGTCCTCGGTGGGCAGCCCCACAGAGGTGAGGACAATGACCATGGTGACGAGCCCAGACTGCGGGATCCCAGCGGCCCCAATGCTGGCTGCCGAGGCTGTGATGCTGCAAAGAGAAGGTGGCTGTGCAATTCAAACTAGCATCTTTGCATGGCAAAGTAAGTTATTGCTGTGTGGAAGGACTGGATTGGATCTGACTTCCTGTACCTTCCTGTTCCCGGGTGCTATCACAAATTCCCCTGCACACAGCAGCAGGTGCCCTGGCTCTGTGCTCCTCTCTGTCTTCAGGGTAGGGACTTCCTCCTTAGTAGTGAAAAATATTTGCAAACGTACTTAATTATGATTTAGTTACATGCTTTAGTTCCCTGCTTATAAAATGAGAATATCCCATTCCTGAAGGGGAATAAATGACACCTGCACAAATCCTGTGCTCAGCCCTATAGTACTGACGTGCCTCAGCCACATGTCTGTGCAGCTAGGCTTTTCCCTACAGGCAAAGTCCTTGACTTGCAGCAGATTCTGGGGTGCAGAGCCAGCCCAGCTTTCCCTGGCACACAGGGACTGGGACATGCTGCACCCTCTTCTGCTCCTCAGCTTCCCAGCAAAGGTCACTCTGTGCATTAACAAGATCTCTTCAAACAGGAAAAATGCAAGAGGTTGTCCTAATGTCTATAAGTAGGAATAGAGAGAAATAATCTGGCTGCTGCAGAGAAACTTTTACCTTATAGTTATAATTTGTCCCAAATCCAGTTCATACTCATTGACCTGGGCAATAAAGATGGCAGCGACTGCCTCGTAGAGCGCTGTGCCGTCCATGTTGATGGTGGCCCCGACAGGGAGCACGAATCGTGCCACACGTCTGTCGATGCCATTGTTCTCCAGGAGACACTTGAGGGTGATGGGCAGGGTGGCTGAGCTGCAGGACAAGAAATGAGCAGTAATTGCTGTTTGTGTTGAGTTTTATAAGTTGGAGTCAGTGTGACGGGACAGAAATACCAGCCCTCCTGAGGATGGGTGCCTCAATGTTGCACAAATTGTTGTCGCAATGAAATTTGGCTCTCACCACCTGGGGAATAGACATCATCAGCAAAGTGAGATGCAGGCTGAGAAAGAAAATGTCAGAATGTCATTTCAGTGGCTGAAGTCACCACTTTAACCACCTGTGTGCCATGGCTGCAGCTCTGTTGAACATCTCTGTTGAACATTAACGTGCCCACATTAATCCTGCAGCGCCTCCTGGAGCATGTGACAGTGTGTACTAGCACTGGCTGTGTTGGGGTCTAGCCAGACCCCTGTGTCCTCACCTGTCTCCTCCATGTGGGATGCCTGCCTCAGCTTATGCACCTCTGACCTCTCTCTGTTGTTTCTGTCTGGCATGAAGACAACTGTCCCACAGGAATGGGGATGAGGAATGGAGGAAGAAGAACAGGTTGAAGAAAGGAAACCACAGAAAATAAGTCAATGGGATTTGAACAGACTCTGGGAGGCAGAGACTGCATTTGGGAACGGCCCTGGATGCAGAGTGGTGGCCCCAGCCCTGGGCACAGAGCATGGGGCTGGGACAAGGAGCAGGGTATTCTTTCTGTAACAGGATCTCCCTCCCTTAGCTGGCTGCAGAGCAGAGGGAGGAGAAGCCTGATGGAGAAAGAGCTGGAGATCCAAGTTCAGGAGGAGACCAGGTCATTACGAGTTGCAGAAGCAACGGTTGCAGCAGTGGGCACTGGAGAAGGGAGGCACAGTCCAGGGGTTTTATTTGGATTATGTGAAGAAGCAACAGAGAGGCCAGAAAAACCCTTTGCCTGGTCAAATGTGCTCCAGGAAAATGTTGGAATTTGTGTGTCTTCTGGAAAGGGTGGTAGTTAATAGTGCGAAGTTTTTTTTCATTGTTATAAGGAATGTATTTAAATTAAAATAGAATAGACAGATAAAATCTAAAATTATTAAAATCTTTTCAAAGTAGGGAAGATTTTTCTGTGGCTGAACTTGGGATACACTGTAGTTGATTTTAGATTGTCAGTAAAGTGTTCAGAAGAGCTTTTAATATTTTCAATTAAACTCCAGGATCATAACCCCATGCAGTTTATAAAGCACCTACAATAGTCCTGGTTTGAATTCATGGAAAGAAAACTGCAGCAATTGAATGAAGTGTGCACACACACACAAAAATATTGCTGGTTTGCTTTGGGAAAACCCTGGGAGAGGATGAGTGGAAGAGCACCATGAGCTGCCCAGGTCTACCAACCAGGGCAGGACCAAGTGTCTGCTTCCTCCTAAAACCAGGAGCATTCTCATTTCAAATAGTGCTGGAGCATAGTTTTCCTTTGAGTTACACCTCTCCTCCCAGAGCTCAGCCATGTCTCCCTTGCTAAACCAGATCCCTGCTCTGAGGTATCTGCAGGTTCCAGCCATGTTTTCCTACCTGGAGGACGTAGCTAAGGCGATCAGCAAGGCTTGCAGTATCCCCTGAATGAAAGCAAAGGGGTTTTTCTTGGTGATGAGGACAAAAAGCAGAGGTAAGAGGATGATTCCATGGAAGGCAAGCCCTGACACCACTGTAATGACATATAGTCCCAGTTTCTGTCCTATAACTGACGGATCTTCCATCTCCAAGATCTTTCCAGCTATGAGAAATACAATGCCAAAGGGGAAGTACCTGCAAAGAATAAGCACAAAAAAAATATGAGGATGCAGCAATCACTGTAGCACTACAGGACAGACATGGCAGTGTTTGGTACCGTGCAGTACAGTCACACGAAAACAAGTTCAGTGCTCACAACAGACACTTGCAGACATGTGACCAGCACTGCCATTAGATAGCAGGAAAGAAAATCAATCCATCAAAACCAGATTTACCAAACAGCCATTGAGACAATTTTCATAACTGCTTCGTTCAGACACTGGCACACGTTAACCAGCGGGGCTCCTCGTTCACCCATCTTTCCTAGGAGAAGTCCTGCAAACAAGCAGAGCAGGTTACATGACTTGAGAGCGCCATGGGAGCAGCACCTGACAGGCCAAGTGTCTTGAGGGTCTGGTGGCCACAGAATGGGGGTCACCAGGCAAAACCTGATTTAGTACTGGTTGCTGTGTGCTCTTACGAGTTATGGCCATTCTCTGTTCTAAGCAAACACAAGCATCTGGCCTTTTCTCACAAAGCCCCACCAGACCCAAATCCAGGATTTAGACTCTGCCTTGCACAGAAAACAGATAAACTTCACTGCTGCTCAATGCTGGAAGAGTCATTTCCTGTGATGGATAAACTGTGGATTAGCTGGATTAGGTGGATATCTGGATTGCTATTTGGTAGTGCAAGAATAATGAACTCTGGAAATACTGGAATTTTTTTAAGGGTAAGGTGTGGTAGGGCTTTCTGTCACTGGGGACGTGATGCTGTGCTGCATCCCTGCCCTGCTGTGGAGTGAAAGGGGCCCCGGCTGCCCCAGTGACTGAGCAGTGTTCTGGTCCCTGGTCCCATGCCTGGTTCCCTTGTGGGGTGAGTGTTCAGTGTTGGTGGCTCACAGGCTGTGCCATGGTGGTGACAACACATGTGCCTGTACAGTAACATGTCAGGAAGCATCTGAGTGAGTTGCTTAGATACAGGCATTAAGCCTTCTCTCCTATGTCTGTTTTCTTCTTTGATGTTGTTGCATTAACTTAATACAGCCTAATTTTCTGTTGAAGGAATACTAGAGCAGAAATACAGGTTATGGTTTGAATGGTTAGAAGGGTTATGGTGCTGTCCTGTGTCAGTGTTAAACCCCATTGCTTTCATTGGCTGGAGGCTTTCTAGGAACCCTCAAGCAAAGGGAAAATGAATGTTTTAGTATTTTCCCGTCTTGTTTCCAGCTTGGTGTGAGTCCTTCTTTCCATGTTGGCAAAAATTAATTTTGAAGCACTATGCAGGTGTCTGTTTTATCTTGGAAAAGAATATAAGCAGAATCTTGTGCTGCTTATCCCTCTTCAGTATCAGGGTTGAAGACTCCAAGAGGCCCTTGGTTGGTGGTTGGACCTCTTATCTTGCTCAAAAGAAAGTTGAGGTGGGGTCACATTTGCCAGAACTTTCAGAAATGAGACAAGGCTTGGCATGTTTAAGTCCCAGCTCTGTAGATATTCATCCAGTATTTGGTGGCCACAACAGCTGCTTTGGAAGAAAGTTATTTCTTTTCAGGTCTTACAGAGCTGATTTGGGAGACATGGCCCAAGTAAATGGACAGATTCCTGCAAGGATCTGGAGTGCTCTGCCCTCTTGTGGGTTTCAAAAGCAACAGAGAGGCCCTCAGTGACAGTGAAGAACTGCCAGAGCTGGGGTAGCTGTGTGGAGTCACCCCTCATAGCAAAGTCACTCTGGGTACGTAGAGGCTGCTGTATGGACACCTTGGTCTCAGCCCCACAACCTGCCTAGTTTTGGTGTTGAACAAAAATGCACTTTGCTGAGAGCTCAACCAGCTTCCACCTGCCTCCCCCACCTTGCTGCATGGAGGAGATCCCTGTTTCCCAAGGCATGGGGCTGTGGTGCCCTGTCTGTCCCTCTCCTGTTTTCTGCCAGCCAAACCAAATTCAGCCTCTCCTCATAAGGAAAGCATCCTGTGGGTGTATGAATGTTCTATATCAAGTTGCCCATGCCTGGTGCAGGTGATGCTCTGTGGCTTTGTGGAGCTCTAATCCTGGGCAAAACATGGGAAGTGCAGGTGGTGGCTGTGGCTGGCTCAGATGATCTCCCACTGCCTCCTGACTCAGGCTGATCCCACTCCCACGCTGGAGGGGTTGTGAAATGCCATCTTAGAAGAGAAAAGCCGCTTCTCGCTGCAGGTTTGGCTGGGCTGGAGGGGAGCACGTGTCCTGTGGGCAGGAACTCAGCACCTTTCCTGGGTGTCCAAGGTGTGCAGAGGGTGTTAGATGCTGGGACAAGAGATTGCCAGAGACATCTTGTGGCTGTAGGGATCTGTCAGTGGGTCTGGCTCTGTCCAGTCTCGCTGTGGCTAACTCCTCTGAGGTCTCTCATTTAGAACTGCTGCTCGAGGTGGCTCTGACTGCAGTCAGCGCACTCCGGTGCTGTGCTGGCTGTGCTGCCTCCACACCTCAAATCTTCTAATTGGCTTTTTGGTTCCTTATACACAAAGTTCAAGCTCCTTGCCCTCACCTCTTAATCTACACATAATCCTGCCACCATACTCATCTCACTGCCTTCTACTCTTTTTCCTTCCTGATCCCTCCCTTCTCCCTTTCTGCCTCAGCTTTGCACCCATGTCCTGTTACGCTTTGAGCCAACTTCATGATCCTTCTTTCAGTGACTTTCTCCCCTTTAAACCTCCTCTCTTGCACATGTCTCTCCACAACCTCTGCTTCTTCTTCCCAAAATTGCTGCCAAGCACCTTTTCCACATAGAACTGCAAGCTGTTCAATGCAGGATGCTGCCCTACCTCCTTCAGAAAGTCCTGTTGGAAATTCTCATGTATTTGTAAAAGCACCAAGTCTGACCCCGCTTTGACATCCTGCCTGCTCAGGGGCTGAATATTCAGCATGAAGGATTTGTGTCATTGTGGTGAGCTGCAGGCAGCTTCTGCAAAATTACTCCTCGCTTCAGACTTTATTAAAAGGACACCCCAGCTTATGTAATGGTTTGAAAACCCTCAGGATCTGCACATGAGTTGGGAAGGAAATACAAGGAAGGAAATACAGTAAAATTAGCCTTCCCCATGCCTACAGCTTTAGTGAGCTCCATCGCGGGTGGTGCTGACAGGGGTCTTGGTATGAGCTCTATGCTGGGTCCAGCTCCCAGGGGCTGGGGCAGTTAAAGCTAAAGGAACCTTGTCCCACATCTTTTGCTCTGTAAAGCATGGTGACCACAGCAGTGGCCACCCTGGGCTGTCCCTGGGCCCATGGAGGAGCAGGTACCTATGGTTGCTGAGAAGATGACAATCCCCAGGACATTCATCTCATTGCTGGTCCCAGCCAGGGTCCTGTAGGTCATCTCAGGTGATGGTGTCAGCTCAAGGAACACAGGCCGATGGATTTCAGGGTTTTTGTCATCAGGTGCAAAGTAAATAAAATTGACAGGTTTTCCTGGGATCTTTGGAAAACCAGGTGACTTCACCACTGGGACAAGAACAGTTCGATACTGGAACAGAAGCAAAGGAGGAAGGTTAGTGTGCTGCTGGCACGAGCTCCATCCTGCTCTCAACATGGAGGCCAAGCCTGCCCTAGGCTGGGTGCTCCTGGAGGTTAAAGGTTTGGGTTCAAGGCAGTAAAAAGCTGGTGGAAACAAGGAGTGAGAGTCAGGCAAGGGGAGCTGTGGCTGTTGGCTGCAGATGGTCTTCAGCCAAGGCTGCAGAGCAGACTCGTGGTGCTGGTGACCTGGGTCCCTGTGGGATGCCAGCACAGTGGCATCTTCATGTCCTTCCTCCATCCTTCCTCCTGTGAGCTATACTGATTCTATTCCAATGAGTTTGATTGTTTTCCCTGTCCCTTCACCCTACCTGGCCACTCCTCAGTCTGTCCCCTTTGACCACTTTACCTTCCCTCAAGTGTCCCTTCTTTGTGTCCCTTTCCCTGCCTGCTGCCTGACCACTCCGCTGCCGCCCCTCCCCAGGGATGAAGCCGCTGCACAGGAGCGAGATCTCAGAAAGGGATGTGTGCTGCTTCTGTACAGGAGCCTTGCAGGCAGAGAGCAGGCACAGGGGTTCCTGTGAGCCTGTACCCCCCTCCCCAGAGCCCTCCTGCCTTCGAGTGCCCACCCTGGGTCGGTGTGGGGGAATGCAGAGGAAGGGGAAGTTCAGGGAAGGGAAGTGAAGTTAAGGGAAGGGGAAGGGAAGAGCCTTCTGTCCAGGCTGTGGGTGAGCAAAGAGGCAGCCCCCGTGTGGAGCTGCACACAGAGGGGTCAGGTGAACTCACCTGCTGGAATGAAGCTTCAACCAGATTAGAAGGAAACATGTTTCTGTAAGAGACCAACGATACAGGGTTAAAGTGTGCTGTGAGAGCATAGGGAGCATCCTGGGAAGCATTTCTGGTGGGCACAATGTCCAGAAGAGGACATGAAAGCCAACAATCACTTAGAAGCTGTGCAAGCTGTGAGCAAAGAAAGCCTGGAAGGTGAACGCAAAGCAGGACTGAGAACCATGTGTAAATGGGATTGGTGGAAAGCCTGAGCCTGGGGTGGATATCTGCAGCCCTCTGCTCAGAGCCTGGTCCAGTCAATCCAGTACTCCCAGCAGTGAAGATTCTCCCCCAGCCCCTGGGTATGTGCTGCAGCCCCTCCCCAGGTAACCCCATCTACTGCTTTAACCCAGCTCTGGGCCAGCTCCAGGCTTGGCATTTCCCAGCTGGGGCTACAGAGGAGAATCCAAGCCTTGCAGGGAACATGACTCTGATCTCTGCTGCAGTGCATCTCTTTGCTGACTGCTTTGGGAGAGCAGTGGCAGTGACAGAGTAGCCAGAAAGGCATGGATGGGGGGACATGAACCCCATGTTGCTGAACTTGAAGATAACAGCACCTGACCAGTGGTTCTCATGTTTCCCTTGAGATCTCAGGGTCTTATGGGAACTCAGAACCTTCTGGGAAGATTTTGTTATCACAGCCTTGCCTCTTGCTGAATTCCTGTGACACACCTGATTAAATCCAGTAATGCATCGGCGGAGCTGAGCACCACTTTCCCCACAGAGTAGTTGTCCTTTTGGGCAGCTGCACCAGGATGGATGCTGACCACGAGGATGATCCCCACAGTCACTGCCATGAAGGTTGTCCAAAGGTAGTAGGTGATGGTGATCACCCCCATCTTCCCACAGGCCTTGGAGTCCATGGTGGCCAGCCCAGACATGAGGCTGCAGCACAGAACAGAGTGGTCACTGTCTGCTCCCCAGACTGCACAAGATGCACCTGATGGGCAAAATCTCCAAGGTGAGAGGGGTTTCCATAAGTTTTTTAAATCAAAGCCCAAGGGCATCACTGAGCTCTTGCACATTCCTGTGCCAGCACCCACAGGATCTCACACCCAGGATGAACTTGTGACATTCCAAGCTGACCTGTGAAAGGCAGGAGACACCTCCAAGCCCCTTCTCAAGATCTGGCTGTGTTTTCTATTAAGGGTTTATATTCTTAGTGTATTTTTATGTTGCATAAGAGATGCTTCTCCTTTTTTGTGAGGTACTGTTCTCTTATATCTCCATCACCTCGTGCCACTGCTGCGTGTCACTGTGAGGAGCAAAGGAAGGTATCAGCAAGGTTCATAAAAACCTGGTGGGGATGGACCCCATGCCCCCAGGAGAGACCTGCAGATTCAGATTTCATGCATGCATAAGCCTTCCTAAGAAGTAACCCATAAGCTACTTCTCAGCAAAACTGGGCTAAAAATAGAGAGGGCATTACAGGCTGCCCAGCAGGGAGAGCAGTGCGGATGGTGGGGACAAGTTGGGTGCAGGACCGGGTTTGCTGAGAACACTCGCTTGGGAGGAACTGCTGACATTCTCAAGGACAGAGAGGGCCCACAGACAGACCCTGACAAATGCGAGGATTGGGAAATCCCCAACCATGTGAGGTTTAACAAGGGCAAGTGTCAGATCCTGCCCTGGAATGGGGCAGCCCTGGATGCAGGGACAGACTAGGAATGAGAGGCTGGAGAGCAGCGCCCTGGCAAGGGACCTGGGGGTCCTGGTTGGTGGCGAGTTGGATCTGAGTCACCAGTGAGTCCTGGCAGCCCAAAGGGCCACCAGGGCCCAGGGAGGGATTGTCCCGCTCTGCTCTGCACTGGGACAGCCTCACCTCCAGTGCTGGGGACACTTGGGGCACCACAAGATCAGGAGGATCCAAAGGTGTTGGAGAGTGTCCAGAGGAGGGATACGGAGCTGGGGAATGCTCTGAGGAGCAGCTGAGGGCACTTGGCTCGTTCAGCTGGAGCAGAGGAGACTGAGGGGAGGCTCCTCGGGGGCTGCAGCTCCTCCCGAGGGGAGGCGGAGGGGCAGGGGCTGAGCTCTGCTCTGGGACAGGGACAGGAGCCCTGGAAGGGCTGGAGCTGTGCCAGGGCTTGGGATGGATCTCAGGGCAAGGTTCTTCCCCCCGAGGCTGCTGGCACTGCCCAGGCTCCCCAGGGAATGGGCCCAGCCCCAAGGCTGCCAGAGCTCCAGGAGCGTTTGGACAGCGCTCTCAGGGATGCTCAGGGTGGGCTTGTTGGGGGGTCTGGGCAGGGCCAGGAGTGGGACTCAGTGATCCTTGCGGGTCTCTTCCAACTCAAGATATTCCAGGATTCTATGAAATGTGACTGTTTGGGAGTTGCAGTGTGCCCCACATGCATACAGACACACTAAGCGCTTGCAGAACCCAGCCAAGCCCTGAGGCAGGACATAATAGAAGGGCTGCAAGGGTCAGTGCCAACCTTGGGGATACACAGGGTGGCTGAGGTGGTGGTCAGCCCACGGATCCCAATTAGCAGCGGCACATCCAGGAGGAGAAGGGCCTTGGAAACTCAAGAGAGTCCACAAAAGCAACACTGACCTAAGTGGTGCTTTCCAGCTTGGGGCTTGGGGATCTCCAGAGCTCCATCCTCAGAGCACACCCAGTCCCCTCTGGGATGGTGTGTAGAGGGAAGACACCACTTCACTATCATTCAGTAATTATAGAAAAATCCCTGGTTCGATCCAACATGAAATAAAACTCCCAGGAGGCCTCTGCAGACCCTGCACCCACAGACAGGAGAGTGATCATTGGACACCACTTAGCAACTGAGCTGCAGGGAGGGCTGAGACCAAAGGGAAACCCTCAAGCACCTCAGGGAGGGATGTGAGATACAGACTTCTCTACAAGGACTGGTACTGAACACATCAAGTGTGGCCAGGATAGAGACTACACTGCTATCAAAAATGAGCCAGAGGCAAATGGGACAAGAAGCAAACTGACAAACAATAGAGAAATGACACATCCTCGAGGGAAGAAGGACTTGATCATTTGTGTGTCTAATGAGCACATGCCAACATATTGTTTGCAATATGTTAATCCATATAAGGTTTTCAAGATCTTGCTTAGACCTCAGTGGGACTGCTGGCTCTGTTCCTTATTTCTAGGTCTCTATGAGCCAAAAAAATTGGGATTTGCAAACACAGACACAGCACTGGGGAATGGTGATGTTTTTTACCTGACCTTTCTCAAATCCCTCTAAGGGAATCTGCTTTGATGTTAAACAGCTCATCACAACTGCCCACAGATGGTCTTGGCATCACCAGCTGCCCAAAAGAAGGGAAACACCTCATCCAGTGCAGGTGTCTGACCTGGGTGCAAGTGCCTGCCAAATTCAGATGAGGATTTGTCCCACACTATCGCTGGGAAATCATGGGGTTTGATGAACACCAAGCCAGGGGATGCTGCTTGACTGCCAGCTGCTTGGAGACAGGGTTATTCTCATCCCCTGCAGTTTTGGGGTTATCTCCTCAATGCAGGGGTCACAGGGTGATCTTTTCAATGTGATGGAAAGATGGTGCTTTAGAGCAGAAGGTGATATCTTACCTGGAGGTGATCAAGGGCAGGATCAGCATCTTCAGCATCCTCATGAGGAGCTCTCCAGGAAAGGAAAAATACTGCTTCTCCTGCACGTAGAGCAGAGCATGTGTCAGGTAAATGATTATGGGTGAAGGGCTCAAACTTGATCCATCTGCCTTGATCCGAACCAGATCCAGCTCTGAGCTTTGTTCTGAACTGGCAGTCGCTTCTTGAGGCACTCAGTGATGCCATTTCTCTGCTGTCCCTTACTGGGAGTTGGCTCAGGGATGGGGAATACTGGGCACGTGGCAAACCTGGCTGTAAACAAGGGAGAGGCATGTGGGATTGGTCCCCTCCCAAAAATATCCCTGGTTCTGTAGGCTTCTAGGAAAGGGTCCACATGGCTCTACCATTGGCTCCTCTCAAAAGTCATTGCATTCATTATCAGGGAGCAGAGGCTTGGCTGCATCTACTTTGGGGCAAAAGTTCCCCAAAGCTGTTGGCAGCAACAAAAGGTGGGAATATCCCATGGCTGCAGGTGGAAAAGACAAGCTCAGGGAGAGGCCAGGTGTCTGGCCCATCCATGGGACAATCTTGGTGCCATGGCATCTCTCCACCCCATACACCTCTCACATGGACACGAAGAAAGGTTGCAGACATCCCCTCAAAGTCTGGATCCCACAGCCATGACCAAGGGGAGAGTGAGGGGTCTGTGGGACCAGCAGCTTGGCCAGCATCCCTCCTTCCCTCCATCCTTATCTCTATGTACCATCCATCCCTCCCTCCATCCATCCATCCATCCATCATCCATCCATCCATCCATCCATCCATCCATCCATCCCTGATCCCCTTATTTCACTGTGCCACTGTAGAGGTGTCAGGGAGTGATCTGAGTTGACCCCAAGACAAGGTACTTTTGGTTACTCCAGAGTAGCCACCACCATGCTGGGGCTTTGAGGGGTGCCAAGGCAGCTATTCAGTTGCTCCCCTGTGCTGTCCCTGCAATGTCCCAGTGTGTGGCTTGGATATGGCTGATGTCCCAGGAAGCTCAGGCAGAGTGGAGCTGCCATGGGCCCAGCTGGGTGCAAGGGTAATGCCAGATCCGAACAGCATCTCTTTGACAGTGGGTCTCTCAGCTTTGTTACACTTTCCCATTCAGGAAATGGGAGGAAAGCAGGGACTGGCCACCTCTCCAGCTGTCCTCCAGATTTTGTGACAAAAGTCTGTAGTGGGGACAGTCTCTAGTGGCCACCAGGCCCATAGCAGAGCTGTGGCAATAGGGCAGGATGGGGCTGAAGCAGAGGATGGATAAACTTTATGCATGGCAAGATGAGGGGCTGGAGCCCCAAGACTCTGTGAGCCTCATGCCCAGCGTGGGTGGCTGCTGGGCTCTCACGGGTGTGTGCACTGGGATGCTGGGAGATTACACCCAGCTTCAATTAAGTAACGAGATCATCCCTGCTGCGCTGATGCTGAAGGGCCTAATTGAAATGACAAGACTTTGCTAAATCCCAGTGGGCAACACAGGGATGTTCCAGCATCAGCTGAGCTCTCCTGGAGCAGCATTCCCGCTCCTGGGCTCAGCAGCCTGGCTGAGGATCAGGGCTGAACTGTGCCCCAGCTGCCTGAAGTCAGAGGATCTCAACTTGGTGCCATTTCACAGTGCAATGCTCCTGCAAAATGCTGAGCTAATGTGCCTTTCTCATGTGTTTTCTCCAATGCATTTGTCTCCAAGGCTCCTCAAAGGAAGGTGACTCTTCTACTCCAGGCTCCCCATCAGCCTTCTATTTATTTGCTAGGTCCTCTCCAGAGCATGAAAATGTGCTTTGATTGCACACAGCTGAGGAGGACCCCATCCCTCAAACCCTATCTTCTGGACCCCATCCCTCAAACCCCATCTTCTGGACCCCATCCCTCAGATCCCAATGCTGCTAGTGGTGTTGGGGGAGCCTGTTTACTGAGCATCTAGCCCCTGAGTAAACATTCCCCCCTTTCCCATCTTCATCCCACCTTGAGGCTCCTGAAGCCCCATGGGGTCCAACCCATAGCTTCCTACTCCCATTGGAGGGAGGCAGGATTTGTCCTATAGCTTGGGCATTTGTTGACACCTTCTTGGTCAAAAAAAAGAAGAAAATAAAAGAAAAAAATAAAAGCCATGGACAGAAACCTGCCTTAAGGTGGTTTTCTTGGGCAGGAGCCTTTGCTTTTGGGGCTGTGCCCATCTGGGACCCTTAGTGGCACCAGGGATTGCTCCCTGCCCCACTCCATCCCTCTCACTCCCATCACCATCCCAGCCAGGCTTACCAGGTCTGTCAGCTCGAGTGCCCGCAGCAGGAACCCCAGGAGGCATCCAGTGACAACCGACAGCATCGAGAGAGTCAAGAGGCCATTTTTGTACCAGAAAGCCCGTACCCACTTCCAGAGGCGCAGAAGGGCCGTGGACAGTGAGTGCAGCACAGCTCTTCTGACCCACTCCCACATGGTCGTCCTCAGCCGCCCAGATGATGCCCCTGGGAGCAGCTCCCAGCCCCAGTCATGGCCATGGGCCCCACGGCACCGATGGACCCCTGCTCTGTGCCAGGAGCTGAGTGTGCTGGTGGCTAATCCCCAGAACCAAAAGCTTCAGGGATATTTGGGAGCCTTTCCCATAATGGAAAGTGACGTCTTCAACTGGTTAATCTGGGCTTGGCATCCTGCCGGTGAGGTGCTGAACCCTCCCAGTTTAACCCTCCAGCCCCTGGGATGGGGGCCAGTGTGCAGAATGAGAGCAGGGACTCAGCCTCAGAACTTCTCTGTGTTTCTGATCCAAAAGGTCCTGCCACCAGATCTGGGTCCTGCATTAGATTTGTGCTCCCCACCACCTGATCCTGCCCCCTCTGTGAGGGCTTCATGAAGGCAGGGTCTGCAAAAGGAAACTTTCCCAGTGAATGAGAGAATTTTCCATAGCATCTGCAGACACAGCCCAAGGCACCAACAGATGATACTGAATGTTCCCACACAAATATCTGCCTGAACAGATCCAACCTCCTGCCAGCTCTCCAGGGAAGCTGCCCCTAGGCCATGAGATGCTGATGGAGCACCTGGTCCATAATTCATTATATTTGAACATATTTCTCTGTCCAGTTTGCCTCTGGCTTAGGCCAGGAGTGTCACTGGAGCCAGAGTGTGGTGCAGAATGAAAGGGCAGGTGGGTTCCAGGCTGAAGATGCTCTGGGAATGGAAAATATGGAAACCTTAATGGGCCTGATTTTACCCCTCTCTCCCCACCCAAAAAAGAAAAAAAAAGGCCATGAAACCCTCTTGAACCACTGCTATATTTTACACGGACAAAACAGAGCTCCAGTGATGGTGTGACTTGAGGATCTGGGGC